CACCCTCACAGTAAAGAATTTCATCCTAAAATTGTGTTTAAATCTACCCTCTTCCAGTTTCAAGTCATTTCCCCTCATCGTGTCATTATGTGCTGTAACTTCTAAATGAAGGAGGTTTGCAGCATAAATGAATGGCATTCAGCAGATTCTGGAGTCAATCTTCCTCCCTCCCTGTCTTCAGCAAAGATGCTGAAAAGAGCATCTTTGAGTAGCAGAGATTTGTACAAATTGGTCCTAAAAGTTCTGTGAGCTCACTACTTAACTTTTTCATAGCCACTCTCCTCATGCTTTGATGTTAGATGCTGCTATTATCTAGTGATCCATCTTCTGTTGTGTCTTCTAATAAATGCCCAAAGATTGCTGATAGTTTTGGGGTTTTTTTTTGTATGTGTGTGTGTGTTTATGTGTGTGTGACAGCATTTAAAGCCACTGCCTTGTAACTTGAAGTTATTTTCCCTTCCTTTGGCCAATCACTGTAAACATCTCCTTCTCCCCCTTATATTGTTGAATTTGACATGATATGGTATGGAATATTTCCCTGGTTAGTTTGAGTCGTCTAACTGTGTGCCTCCCAGACCCCTGCACAGCCCACAGTTTATTCACTTTGAGTACAGTGACAAGCAGATGCTGTGCTTATCTCTTTAAATGAGGATGTTACAGGTATACACACACCTATTTTTGATATCAGCATACAGCAGCAGGGTAATCAAAACCTGAAAAATCTAACTGCTCCGGCATAGTTAGAACATTAGCATGATATCAGCATTATTTTGGTCACCAATCACACCTGTTATGAAGAAAAACAACTCTAACCCAGCCAGACTGAGTACAACTGTGTACATAATAAATTAAGTAAAGGATCTCAGTGATCTTTTTCCTCTGTTGATGATCATTTGGGAGAGAATGGCCTACAATGAAGAACTACCAACTAGACATGCAAATTATGGCTTGCACATATGCTGAAGGGGGTCTAAAAGTTATGTCTTCATGTTTTCATCACTGTCTTACTCACAGCATGTGAGGCAAGTTCACTGTAATCTAATTCCTGTGTGATGTGCAGAGCTCCCTCAAAATTTTTACATTTACAGGCAAAGGTTGAAGTAAATAATCTTCTAACTACATGTCACAGCAAAACTTTCTCCTCAGGCACCACGGAGTTTACTATGTATTCTGGTTCTGCAGTGGGTGTATGTAACCGTGATTTTCACCCACGATGAAAAATAAAGAAATTGCAGTTCTTAAATCCCAGTGTTTGGTGAAAGTTATTTAGTTACGTGGGAAGAAAGAAAATAAAAATATTGAGTCAGTGAAATGTATGTTCAGCCTGGGAATCTGTATTCCTTTCTACCTCGAGTTCTTTACAGCGTGTTAGGTATTTTCATTCAAAAACAATGAAGAAGTCACCCATAGCCTTTGCCAGCCTAACTGTAGCCATGTAGGTGTTGGATCATTAAGTCTGAGCCAGGCACTCAGATTGTGAAGAGAAGTACGAATCTCCCAGTCCTGATTCATCCGACTACTGATACACCACCGGTGCAAATTAAAAGTTTTTTTTCTAGGAAAGAGAGGAAACAAAACAACAATACAACCAATAACAACACATTGAGTTTATCTCTTTTACACTTTCTTGAAGCATGTCAGTGGACTATGAGAGCTCCCATTTAAAAATTAAGCTTGTAAAATATAGGAAATTAATGATACAAAGAATTCTAGAAAACAGCTTTCCATCCTGTGCATTTCCAGATCAGAATGCACAGAATATGAAAGTCAGAGATTGGTGGTTCATTTGCACATCAGAAGCATAATTTATCAGTCATTTAAGCAAAATTAAACATGGAATCTTAAAGAAGTTGTAGGGGACCTCTACACAGCGCCTGGTACAGAGTAATTATCGAAGGTGACTTATTGAGATGTGCCCCTCTGAAGAGAAGATGCAGCACGAAGGGTGGAGCGAGGTGGGAACATCGCAGTGAGATGCTGTGATAACACTGCAGAGATGGGAACTTAGTGCTGTGGAACGTTCGTGGTACTCACATATGCTCTGCAGACAGTGCATTATTAGCAGCAATCCAAAAGAATCTACAATTCACTGCTTCATTAATTAGTGCTAGTCATTAACTTCGCAGTGAATGTTCTCATTGAATATGATCAAATTTCTTAAGGAGGGGCTGTCTGGTTCATTTGAGTGCAACTCAGTTGATGTGTTATTTGTGGATCTGTGATCAGTCTATATATTCCCTGTACTTATGGTGCCAGATTAGACATCACTGGGAATCCAAGCTCAGTTGCTCTCAGCCCCTCTGATATCTAAGGAGAAGCTGGAATGCAAGGGGGTTTATTTTCTAACAAACTTTTTTACCTATTAATGAAACACCTGGCCCAGGAATAATATATGTTAAAATAAATAATTAAGAAAGAGTAATAAATAACTGTAAACAGTCACACACATTACGACTTTAATTGGGACCCATGGGTATCTGAGTTAGCACAGCTGTTTGCCATAATTATATGACCTTCAGCTTTGGAACCAAAAAACACCCGCAGTCCCAGCTGTCTCTTAAAGAGACAAAGAATATATGGAGTCCAAAAGAATCTCTGTCCTCTAGCACACAGTGCTCCTCTCCTGTCAGCAGGTGGCACGGACCACGGCACAGACACCGGCTGCAGGCTTGGTGTTAGTGCTGATGTGCAGACAGGGCAACAAATGGCCACGTGGTGGGTCCAGAACGGGGGGGACCTTTGGTCTGCACACAGCAGTATTAAACACGGGTGTGTGGAAGAGGAGGAAGACTTCAGAACACAATGATGGACCACCAGCAAAGGTCCTGAAATGGAGGTGTACATTTAAGCTGATGGCATGTTTTTGTAGGAGGTTAAAGCTAGGGTTGGTTTCAGAGATAAAGTTATGGTATGGAGTAAAGTGAGGAGTTTGAACAGCTGGGAGCTGTTGATACTTGGGGGGCACTGAGGAAGACAGTCAGTAAGCAGTGCAAGGACTGGGAGAGTTCAGGCTTCAGTTCTATTGTATTCACACATCAATGTTGAGACCTATGAGCATGAGTGAACTCTGAATAACTAAAGAGGAAAAGTGCCTCAGGCCATGCTGTTCTCCTCCCTCCACCGGATGGGAAGATGTGGATGGCTCACCTTGCCTGAGGAGGAGGAATACTGCTTTGAACAGATGACAAGAAGGGTGATAATTAAGAAAAGAGACACATACTTATTTCTTCTTAAACAGAAGATAAGTGAGGGTTAGTATTATTGAGATTGGACAAGAAATGAGTGATCATTAAATTCTGGTTAGACTACCAACACATTAATGAGACTGATAATGAATTTTCTTTGGTCAAAGCATGTACTTTGCGATTCTGTGACTCTGAGTAATAAGTCATTCTTCCTTTTGTTTAACAGTTCCCATTAAATACTGGAACAAAATTAGGCATTGGACAACATGAACTAATTTATACACACATTAATTACAATGAGCCCTTCAACTGTCCGTGTAAGAAAGGATGAGATATGGGGACCTGGTTTAGTGGGCATGGAGGTGATGGGCTGATGGTAGGATTAGATGATCTAAGTGGTCTTTCCCAACCTTAACGATTCTATGATTAAATAAAAAAATAGTAAGATTTTTTTCTTATTTCAAAGCATAATATAAACTTTATAGTTTCCAGTGTCAAAACCAGTTTCATTTCTCACTGGTCTCAGTAAGGGAAGTAAACTGAACCTGTTTTAAATCAGTGGCATTTATATGTTAAAGTATCTACTCCTATCACATTTTCAGTATGTTTCCTTCTCTAGCTCAACACTGCCAGCCATGCTACTAATGCAGTAAGACGTAAGATATAAAGAAAGATGTAAAAGAAGGGATGCAAAAATCAATGTAACTTTCTCGTGACTCAAAAGCAGAAAAAGAATTGAGATGAATGAGTGGATAAATAGACTTCTAAAACAATTTTGACTTTTTTATGGTCAAATGAACCACTGTTTCATTCAAAATGTATGAAAATGAAATTATTTTATAAATTCCATGGAGAATACTGATTTATTTTCTATGTTTGTCTTATTGCCAACTCTTGGCATATTAGTTTCATAGAGATATTTGGATAACTGACTTTTCTCCATATTTCCAATATTCTGATGACTTCATTGGAAAATTGACATTGTTGTGGGGTCTCTTTGAGGAAAAGTGGAAGTCTGCATATGATCTGAGCACCCTTAGGTCCCTTGAAAAACAGCTGGGAATGTGATTCTAGGTTTGAGCAATTTTAGACTGCAATTCATCTATCTTTGACTGTCTGAATCATAGAATCATAGAATCGCCGAGGTTGGAAAAGACCTAAAAGATCACCCAGTCCAACCGTTCACCTATTCCCAATAGCTCCTACTAAACCATGTCCCTCAACACAACATCCAGTCTTTCCTTGAACACCCCTAGGGTCGGTGACTCCACCACCTCCCTGGGCAGTCCGTTCCAGTGCCTGACCACCCTTTCCGAAAAGTAATACTTCCTCATGTCCAGCCTGAATCTCCCCTGCCGTAGCTTGAATGCTGTCTGCATTAGAATGAAATGTACAGTACCTTGGAAAGGTCTGCTTTGCTCATTTGGAGAGGTTGTATCCATCGCTAGTTCAGATCAAGATAGCTACAGTGTAAACCACAAAGATCAGCCTACTATAGGAGACTGGATTGATGATTTAATCCAGGTATCAGTTCCTACTGTGTGGAGAAAACATGAAACATCTGATGATGTTTACTTTCAGTTCACAATTCCAATGCGATGCCCAAGATAGTGGGAATCTAGATGACTAGCTTTCAAGTACTTTAGAATAAGGAGTTCCGTAAAACTAGCCAATGGTCAGAGTATGCATTTTCAGTAGTCTCAGTATACCCCAAGGTGCTTAAATATTGCAATATATTTGTACTGGTGTATTCATTACTGCCTGTTTGTCATGGTTTGGCAAAGTCAAAATGGGTGTCAATTATACTGTAGTTAGTTTGTTCTGTTAGGATTGTCCCAGACTCACAAAGTCCAATCAGTTCTCTTTCTTCTTCCTGCTGTTCTACATGATAATTCTCCCAAGCAACATCCTTATCATTCTCACAATTCAGGGCAATTCCCAACAGGGATCACCCATGTATTTTTTCCTGGCCAATTTGGCGTTCTTGGACATCTGCTACTGTTCTGTGACCCCACCCAAAATGCTGGCTGACTTTTTCTCAAATCCCAAGACCATCTCCTACAATGCCTGCATGACCCAGCTTTTGTTTCTTGACTTCCTGGGAGCAGCAGAAGCTTTTCTGCTCTTGGCCATGGCCCATGACCGTTACATTGCTGTTTGCAAACCACTACACCAGGCTTTGAACAGGACTGCATGCTGTGCCCTGGTTGGAGCTTCATGGGGCAGTGGCTTTGTTCATGGCATCATTCTGTTTGCTCTCACCATCAAGCTCCCCTTTTGTGGCCCCAACGTCCTGGACATCTTTGTGATGTGCGTCAGCTGGCTAACTTGGCCTGTGCTAACACTTACACAGTAGAACTGCTGGCATTCCTCAACAATGGAGTCATCATTGTCATGTGCTTTGCACTTCTCTTCATCTTCTACACAATCCTCTTGCTGAAGCTCCGGACACAGTCCACCAAGGCAAAGAACAGAATAACCTCCAGCTGTGTTTCCCACATCATTGTGGTTTTTGTCATGTGTGGCCCAGTTATCTACATCTATGTCTTACCCTTTCAGACTGTCCCAATGGTTGTTGTTGATATTGCTGATCAACAAGGAGATCAGAAGTTTGATGTGGAAGTTGGTCTGCAAACACATACTTTGGTGTAGACTTTAAAAAAAAAAAAATTAAAAATAATTGTTTCTTGATTTCTTAATGCAGTTTCGCATTTTTCTTAGGAAAAAATTTGGACTGTGTACTATGTAACAGCATAATGTACCTAATCAGTAACCTTCAAGAAGTCCTCTTCTGTCAGTCATGTAGTTTAGCTGCATGGTTTAAGATCAATGCTTAGCATTAGAGGGTCGATATTTTATGCATAATTGCTTGCCAATATTTTGGGATAATTGTAGTATGTAGATTTTCATTTAAATTGATGATTGTTTATGGACCTCTGCAGATCATTTTTCCTTAACCTAACAAGGGATTTTCATGAATTTGGTCAACTCTTCTCTCCCCTTATAGGCAGGACGTGACAGTTGTTGCTATGAAGTTGTTGTTAAAAATCTTCTAATTTTATTAGAAATAATTTGGTAGATGTTGAGACTTCATAAAACCATTGGTGGACTACTGGCTCAGGTACAGGCATGTTAGTTCAAGATTTCAGCTCATAGTTGAATTTTCACTATTGATGCTGCCTTCTTGTTAGACTCTTTCATGATTCTGCCATTTAATGAGTTGATTACTTTTCCACAAAGGGAGAATGTGCGGGCATGGAGAAACATTGCAATCTGAAATCAGAACACAACTATTAAGTAAAAATCAAAGACAATATAGTCATAGACTTAGAGGAAATACTGATCATAAGCTATATCTATACAGTTACAGACATCTGCAACACAGATGCAAATGTCTGAATTAGTCACTAAGGATTCCTGCAAAATTAGTAGGCATTTCTAGGGAGAAATTCAGCTAACTCTTTTTAAATTTCTACTTTGAGAAGTAGTAAGTAGTGCCTTAGACATTTTTGTCTTGCCCCTTGTACTTGCCCTGTAACCCACTTCTTATTCTTGCTTTGAGTTGGAGTCAACCAAATAATTTATTTTTGTTAGGAAACTATGATTTTCTTACGGCAGTGTAACTTCTTTAGGCAGTGTAGATGCTGAGTGAAATACGGCTTCATCCACTAAGTTCTCCAGTAATATTCCAGAAGGCATTGCACCCTACAGGTCATGGTATTTTCAGTTCTCATGTAATACTGTTCATGGCATGCTGTAGATATCCAAATATATTTGCCTCTGAAGTATGGTTTTTTTGTTATTGTTGTTCCTTAACAGATCTTCTACACATCATTTGACAAAAGACAATGTCACAAAGTCAAGAGTGCTTTTCTCCTAATGTCAGATGCCACAAGCACCCATCCTTCCCATCCTGGGAGACTTCATCACCACTTGATCAAGTGTAACCTCTTAGCTATCACTCCTCCATTGCAGCATGAAACTAAGGCTACTGCGTCTCCTCTTGCAGTCCTGTTCTGATTCCCTGAAAGTGCACAGACTGCTCACTTCATCCAATAGTTCCTTCACTTGTAAGACAGTGCCATGACATAGCATGTCTCCCACAGGTGAAGCCACAATCTCCTGTATTCCCAGGAGGAGGCTTCGACTTTATTTACTGTATTTATTATATTTATTTATACATTTATTATATTTATTTACTATATTTATTATGCAGCATCCTCCCTCTGGAATTGCATCCATGAACAGATCTCTGATATGCTGGAGGACTTTCTTCAGTAAGGACTGGCAACTGAATTTAATGGAACATGATCACAACAATTCCAAGCAGTCCCATATTTTTTGGAGCATGATTGCTGTCCCTTTGGATCAGTAGTTTTGCAAGGCTTCTCTCAGTTAGTTTTCAATGGTCTTTGGAATCTGGAGAAAGTCTCCGTTGACTGGAAGCTGGCAAACATCCCATTTTTCAAGAAGGGCAAGAAAGAAGACACTGTTAATTACAAGTCCATGAGTCTTGGTGCCTGATAAAATTATAGAGATTATTTTGGGAGTTATTGAAGAACAGTTGAAAGACAGAGCAGTCATTGGTCACAGCTAACATGGATTCACAAAGTAAAAGGCCTATTTAATGAGCTTCATCTCCTTTTAAGGCAAGGTTACCTACCTAGTTGATCAAATAGATGTAATCTTTTTGGCTTTCTACAAAGCTTTTGATAATGTTTTTCACTGTGTCCTTAAGGACAAAATGTCCAGCATACAGCTAGGCAAGTACCTAATAAAATGGATGAACAATTGGCTGATGGATTGGGCTCCAAGGATTATAATAAATGGGTTTAAATCAGGCTGGTGGCCAGTCACTAGTGGGTTCCAAAGAGCTCAGTTTTATGGACAGTTCTCTTTAATATTTATATAAATAATCTGGATGCAGAAGTCAAATGCACACCCGGTTTGTAGATGATACAGAAGGAATGATGATCTCAGCAGTGAATATGGTTTTCTCATGGAAATGTCAGATCTCATCTCTTCGGATCTGCTGTGTGGTTTCTGTATCCTTCCTGAGAGAGAAAGATTTTTCCCAGTGTTTTCCTGATGACATTTTTCATCTTAGTGTTTGAGTGTGTCAATCAACAGATTAGCATTGGTGTGATCACAGTACAAATAACACGCAGTACCTGTCTATAGGGAATTTCTCATAAAGTCAAGCGTAGAAGACAATGAAGGGGGTGAATATTAGGCTCACAATGGTTATCTGAGTTCCTCAGGTAGACAAGGGTTTCCATTTTCCTTCTGTGATGCATGTCCTTAATTTCAAGATGACACTGTAGGAAATTGTCAAGATCACAGAAAGAACCATGAGAATCATTCCACCGTGAAACACCATCTGTAGTCCAGCCATGTGGGTGTCAGCACAAGCCAGTTTGACAACTTGAGGAACATCACAGCAAAACTGCCCAGTATGTTGGGCCCACAAAACGATAGATGGAGAAGAAAAACAATCTGTATAGCAGAGTGAAAAATTCCACTAAACCATGCTGTTATCACCAATCCTGTGCACTCCAGTTTGTAACAGACAAGTAACGTGGTGGCTCATGGATGGCCACATACCTATCAACTGACATTCATACAAGGAAAAAAAAAACATTGCAGTGGCAATGAAGTAGAAGAACATTTGGTGGAAATGTTCACTGAATTATGCTATGCAGAATAAAAAGACCTGACAGCAGTTTGGGAATGTTGACTGAAGAGAACTTGACACTGAGAAAAGCCAAGTTGCCCAATAGGAAGTAAGTGTGTTTATGGGGCTGGTGATCAACAACTACAGTTGCAATGATGGTGAAGTTGATGAATGATGAATGATGAAGCCAGGTTACTATACAGATAACAAAGCTGATTACAAACAGACTGTACTGTAGTTTGCAACTCTTTGTCAGTCCAAGCAAGACAAATTCTGTCACAGTAGTGGTGATATTGTTCAACTCTGTTCCTGCACAGTGAATATAGCAACAAACATGTATAGAATCATAAAGTCACAGAATCACAAATAATTTAGTTTAGAACTAACCTCTGACTGGCGTCAAGTCTGATCCTCTCTTCAAGTCAGGGTCAGCTGGAGCACACCTAGGGAATTTTTGATCTCACAGCCTGTTGGCAACCTGTTCAATTATATGACCAGTCTCAAGGAAAATAAATAAATATCCATAAAATTTAGCACATTCCCACAAGTATCTGTTGCCTTTCATCCTGTTGGTATATTGCACCAGAAGAGTCGGCCTCCATTTGCTCTGCATCATTCTCTCATCTGTTAGTTATAAATAGCAAAAAGGTCTCCTCTTAACCTTCTGTACTTAAGAGTGAACAAATCTTGTTTGGCTTGTTGTTCCTGGCCAATTTCTCGATGTTCTTCCAGGGAATTCACTGCCACTGTCCTTGTCCTGGAGAGCCTCAGATTGGACACAGTACTGCAGATGGAATCTCTCAAGCACTAAATAGAGGGGTAGGATCATTTCCCAGATCAGCTGGCTAGACCCTTGCTAACAGAGCCCAGGATGTGTTTTGCTTTCTTTACTGCATAAATACTTCCCTGTCTCATGTTCAGCAAATTCCCTAAGAATAGCAGCCTTCCCCTCCAGCATACTGACCACTTTCCTGAGCTTGATGTCCCCCGCAAACTCACTGTGATTGCATTGCATCTCAGCACTTATCTCATTAACAAAGACATTAAACAGTACTGGCCTGAATACTGATCCCTGAGGGACACCACTAGTTAGTTCTCATCTGCTTAAATTTTACACCTTCTTAAAATCAGCAGCCCAGGCAATTTTCCATTCGTGCTATCACTCCTTTACTAGGAATGATACACTAGGGCCCCAGCTCCACTAAGCAATGAGAACAGACTCTCCTTACTCTTCCTTTTGCTTCAAATGCACTGTAAGAAACCTTTATTTTTGCATTTCACCTCCTTTGCAAGTTTCAGCTCCAGATGATCGTGGGCTGCATGTAATGCAAGAGCACCAGGGCTTCTGGGCAAGGTTTAGTGATCCCAAAGAAAATATGTAGAGGCAAAATAACATTCATCAGTTTAACAGAGAAGTACTCAAGTTACCGGGGGTGGTTGGCTGGTAGAATTTCATCAAGTCCTCTGTACTGGAAGAGGCCAGCCAGTAGAGTGTCAGCACTGGGGCTTCCCAGCAGATACAGGTGTCAGCCAGTCAGCCAACCTGCAAGATGTCCACGCCACCCCTTAGTACTGTGGCCATATACTTAACAGCAGGAGACAAAGTGTTGCTGATCAACACAAACAGTGTTCAGAGAAAGCAAGGATATTTGGTCACAGCTGCAGAGCAGTTTCGTACAAACAAGTTTCTTCTAGCTACATGCAGAAGTTAGGGGCAGTTTACTTGTTTTCCCAAGCTAACAAGCCTCTTTTTCATGGCTTAGCTGCCTGTTCAGGCCACAATTTGTATTTTTCCACACACTCCTCTCCCACGTATATAAACAATGTCTCTGTATTGATCTGAAGTAGGCCATTCTTGCTTTTAACTTCTCTGTTGGCCTTTTTGGTGTTTGAGCTAAGTCAGAAGACACATGTCCATATATGCTAGACTCCTTCTGCTTGGTTGTAAGAGATTATTCTTTTATATCATTGTCTCAAAGCTCGCTGGTCTCCAAGCAAGTCCTGGGCAAGGGTTGAGAAATCATTTGTCTGGAGAACGCTGATGGACAAAGCCAGGGGCAACGAGAGAGATAACCGCAGATTAATGGCCAGGAAGCGGTCTTCTGTGTGGGCCTATCTGGAGGAAGACGTCCATCTCAGGAGGTGCTGCACAAGACTCTTACCGAGTGTCCAGGAACGCCATAATGGCAGAAGGATAAAAAGGGAACCTACAGCCATGAGGTTGAGGTTTTCTGGCAACAGATTCCTCAAAAGAAGAAGAGGTTTCTGACATGAGAAGCCTCATGACCTGCCTCTCTCCCTCCTGGACTTGCTCTGCGCTCTACCTGCATGCTGAAGAACAGAGGTGGCTGCCATCAGATTCCTCACTACGGGATTCCTGCGTGCTGACGGACTGCTCTGGGCTGCTGCCTGAGTCCTGCTGCTTCCTCCTGGATTGGCTCTGCGACTCTTCCTGCTGCCTGCTTGCTGCCCCAGGCCGCCACGCTGCTGCTGCTCTCCCCCTGCTGCTTCTGCCTTGGACCTTCAAACGCCGTGCAGCAGGACGCTGCTGGATCCTGGTGGTGACCATCCCTGCTTTACACCATTCTTGCTTCTTCCCTATCTTTTCTATCACCCTCCTTCCCTTCCCCATCTCCCTGATCAGGATTTATAATAAACTGGTCAGACCAACATTTGAACCATTGTTTCTTAATCTCACACTGGGTATACAGATATTAAAAAACCTCCTCTCCCTCTTACAAATTGGAGCGAGACAGTGGTTTACTGCAAATTTGAATGAACTGTTTTTCTACTCTAAAGATGCTGCCCCTAAGATTAACAAGTTTTCCTGTGTCTCTTTATCCTCAAAGAGCAGTTTTCCATGGGGTCCTACCAAGCAGACACCTGAACAAGCCAAAACTTGCTCTTCAGAAGGCCGAGGATGTGATTATATTGTTTTGCTTCCTTACCGTTTTCAGGATTTTAAACTTTGTTGTCTGTTGTTGCAGATACCAAGACCTTCACATCTTCATCTAGCTGTTTCCTTATTTCCCATCAAGATAGTAATAATAATGCAGTGGTAAATATTGCTGTAAATCACCCATTACCTTTCACCAGAGGGGGAATGCTCTCCTTGGCCTGTCTCCTCCTGCCTATGTACCTGTAGAACCCCTTCTTGTTATCTTTCACATCCCTCGCCAAGTTCAGCTCCATTTGTGCCTTGGCTTTCCTAATCCTATCTCTACACACACGCACAACAGCCCTGTATTCCTCCCAGGATACACAACCCTGCTTCCATTCTCTGTGTGTTTCCCTCTTTTCCCACAGTTTCAGCTGCAGGTCCTTGCACAGCCACCACGGTCCCCTGCCTCCCCTGCTAGATTTCTTCTGCTGGGGAATGGAGAGCTGTTGCACTCTCAGAAGGGTGTCCTTAAAGAGCTGCCAGCTCTGCCCTGTGCCCATGCCCTTAATAAGGACACATTTCCCAGGGGATCCCACTCAGCAGTTCCTTGAGCAGTCAGAATTTGTTCTCCTAAGGCATAGAGTCCTAACCCTGCTTTTTGCCAGGCCTGCATTCAAGATCACAACCTCCACCAAGGCATGGTCACTACAGCCCAGGCTACTTCCAGTCTTAACCTCTCTGATGCTCTCCTCTGCATTAGTGAGCACCAGGTCCAGTAAGGCTTCACCTCAAGTTGGTCCGTCCACTACCTGGACCAGGAAGTTGTCCTCGACAGATTCCAGGAATCTCCTGCACTGTCTGCCACCCGCTGTGCTGCTGTACCATCAGGTATCCAGGTGGACACCAGTGATAAGTGGCATCCCTCAAAGGTCTGTATTGGCACTGATGCTATTTAACGTGCTTGTCATTGACATGGATAGTGGCATTGAGTACACCCTCAGAAAGTTTGCTGACAACACCAAGCTGTGTGGTGCAACCAATATGCTGGAGGGAAGGTATCTATCTAGAGGGACTTCGACAGGCTTGAGAGGTTGAGCTGTACAAATGTCATGAAGTTCAATAAGGCCAACTGCAAGGTCCTGTGGCCGGACCATGGCAATCTCAAACGAGAATATAGAGTGGGCAACAAGTGGATAGAAAGCAGCCCTGTGAACTTGGGGGTTCTGGTGGATGTAAAGCTTGACATGAAGGCCCAGAAGGCCAACTGTATATTGAGCTTCATAAAAAGAAGCTTGGCTAGCAGGTTGAGGGAGATGATTATCCTCCTGAGGCTCCACCTGCAGATCTGGGACCACAGATCTGTCTAGAGAAGAGAGAGCTCTGGGGAGAGTTGCTAGGGTTCTCCAAGACAGATGAGGAGGGATTCTTTATCACGAAGTGCAGTGATGGCACGAAGGATAATAGTTTTAACTAAAAGAGGGTAGATTTGAATTAGATACTAGGAAAAATTGTCACTGTGAGGGTGAAAAGGCACAGGAACAGGTTGCCCAGACAAGTTGTAGGTGCTTCATCCCTGCAGATGTTGAAGGCAAGGTTGAATGGGTCTTTGGGCAACTTGACTACCTTGACTTCAGCAAGGTTTTTGACACTGTGTCCCATGCTGTCCTCGTAGAAATATTCACGAACTGTGGATTACGTAAGCAAACAATTGAGTGAATAGAAAATAGGCTAAAGTGTCAGATTTAGAAGGATTGTTGGCAGGGGCACAAAATCCAGCTGGAGGCCAATCTCTAGTGGTGTGCCCCAGAGGTTCATGAAGACAATCAGAGGGCTGCAGTTTTTCTTCTACTAAGAAAGGCTGAGGTAGCTGGGCTTGTTCGTCCTGGAGAAGAGGAGGCTTTGCTGTGGCACATCACAGCCTTCCTGTACTTAAAGGGAGCTTATTAACAGGAGGGAGACCGACATTTTACCTGTGCAATAGTGATTAGACAAGGAGGAACAATTTTAAATTAAAACAGGAGAGATTTATATTAGATTCTTTATTCAGAAAATGGTAAGGTACTGGAACAGATTGCCCAGAAGATTTGAATACCTCAAACCTAGAGGTGTTCAAGGCTATTAGGTTATGTGATTCTATGATTCTATAAATAGCAGATCTTTAGGGGAAATGTAGAGAAAAAGTTATGGTCAGCTTAGAGATCTTAGCTCTGTATAATATTCTGAGACTAACAAACATTCATACAGGCCTAGGTAGCAAAGACACTGGGAGCAGATTTTGAGACCCATAGCTGAGCTCCCTTCTCAGTTTTGCTCAGTTGTTAGGTTCTGTTCCCCTTGCCACTTGCTTTCCTCATGTGAGATGATGGGCTTTGCTCCATGTTCTCTCTGCTTTTTCTTCAGGATCTGTCACATTTTTTAGATTTCAGAGGTGAACATCAGTAAATTTATCACAACCTGTTACATATTACTGTTGCACAGTGGAATGAGAGCCATGGTAGAATTTTATAGTGAATGAAGAAAATTCTTGCAAATCTCCACCTGAAATTTCTAGGAGAAGATATCCCTCCAGCATGTTGTTTTCCTAAGAGCAATCTTGAATTCCTGATTCCTCAGACAGTAGATGATTGGGTTGATGTGCGGTGTTAAGACAGTGTATATCACAGAAACCAGTTTGTTGGAGCTGAAGGAATCAATAGGCTGGGGCCTGGCGTAGATGAACAAGGAGGCTGTGTAGAACACCGTGACCACTAGAAGATGAGATGCACAGGTGGAAAAGGCCTTGTGGCGGCCCTGGGCCGTGGGAATAGCCAGGACAGCAGAGATGATGCACACGTATGAGGCCACAATCACAGTGAGCGGTGCCAGGAGGATGAGCAGGGCTAGTAAGAAATCCATGAGCTCAGCTAGTGATGCGTTGGTGCAGGCGAGCTTCAGCAAGGGGGACACATCACAGAAGAAGTGGTTGATGATATTGGGCCCGCAGTAGGTCTGATGTGAAATGAAGTAAACCTTCCCTGCAGAAATCAGGAAGCCGCTTACCCAGGAGCCAATAGACAGGTGGGCACAAAGAGTGCAGTTCATGATTATTGGGTAATGCAAGGGCTTGCAGACAGCCACGTAGCGATCATAGGCGAAGGCAGCCAAGAGAGTGCACTCTGTGCAGGCCAGTGCCAGGAAGAACAGCTGGGCCATGCAGCCTGTGAAGGAGATGCCTTGGCTCTTAACCACCAAGCTCACAAGCACCTTGGGCACTGTGACAGAGACATACCAGATCTCCAGAAAGGAAAGGTTGCCCAGAAAAACATACATTGGCTTGTGAAGCTGGATATTTGTCCAGACAAGCACAACAATCATTACATTTTCTGTTACCGTCAGCACATAAGCCAGGAAGAATACCAAAAAGATCAGAAGCTGGATCACTGGTCTACCTGGAAAACCAACCAAAATGAATCCAGTCACGTAGGTCTGGTTAGTTGAGGACATGCTGGTAATCCCACAGAAGTTGCTGTGAACTTTGCAGAAGAAGCAGATGTAGCAGCAATTTGAACATTCACTCAGGCTGGCTTATAAGCACAGACTGGGAGCAGAAAATCTTTGTTTATAGCAAGAGCTGACAAGATTAAAAAAAAATTTAAAAACCAAAAAATATGTTAGTTGCAATTAGATTTTCATAATGAAAACCAAACAAAAGTGAGACAAAAAATCCCAGCCACCAATGGTAACAGTACAGCAGCTTTGCAAACTAACACTGGGAATTGCAAGAATCTTGACCAGTTGGTAATGCGTACTTACATAGAGGTACTAGAGGAATTTTCCAAAGTAGATAACGGGACCCTTTCTGGAAATACAATTAGTATCATGGTCAAACGAGTGCCAGTTATATTACTGATCTAGGCCTCAAGTATCTCACGATATGAACACAGCACATGCTACATGCAGGAACGAGTGCAGTGGTCAGGATGTATGTGTGTGTTTTGTGTTCTTTGGTTTTACATGATTTTTTTGGCCAGTCTCCACATTTCTCCTCATCCAGAGCTCCACCAGCTGTTGTTGTATCACTGTTCAGGGCATTGAACTTTAGTGCCTCTGAGCTTTTAGGGACAAATTTAATTGAGCCATGTCATTAAATGTTAAGGTTAGTCACCCTCATGTGAATTATCAGGGCATCTTCACAGAGTGGTTCATGTAAATGGCTTTAATGTAACTTTTAAATGTAGTTGCATATCTTCTATTGCTAGTCTTTAAGATCGAGAAAGGACCTGTCTCTGCTTGAGTTAGGGCAGTTAGATCTCCTCATGAGTAACAATTAATACAATTCTTGGCCTCATCTGGCCCTGGCTACAGTTCTGGTTAGGAATGAATTAAGTATTTCTGGATGATGTTGTCTATGTGGCTTACACTTACGCTGCTTTGTATGTAATTAAACAACTGTAATTGAAACATAGACACCTGGCATTACATAATAGTTATTGCACTGTGGAGACTCACGGCAACATTGAGGCATCTGTGCAGAGTGAGAGCAGTTTTACCTGACAAAGATATCTTAGTCACTTGCTTGGAATTAACAGATACGACACAAATCCTGCAGAAGCTCTGTGGCTTTCCAGAGCAGAGCTGAAGGCCTTCCAGAGTACCTCAAGAGATCTAAAATAGCACTTGATGACTGTGTTTAAGGACTTGAATTCTTAGTCCTTTGTCATACACAATTAATAAGTAGGTGAGAAAACAGAGATTGCCTAAAACTATGCTGTTCTTTCTGCTTGGGGATCTGATGATTATGCCACCCAGCTTTCAGAGGGTGCAGATTTCTTAAAGGCGCTTGTTTAAATCTTGCATGCACACATTGCATTCAATTTGTAGTGAACTGTGAGGTGAATTTGTTTTACAAACATGCTATGAGATTATAGGCACACGTACTTATGTGTTTACCTATTCATTCATCTATGCTTATACCAACATATTAACACAGTGCAGCTGATGGTAATCTTCTGTTCTATTTGTGTATTAGATATGTGTTTCTAATGTCAGATTTGGCCAGATAGAAAGGGGCATGCTGTAACAGAAATGCAAAAAAGTATACCTACATTATTTCCCTGGTGGGAATTTTATTTTTTTCACATGATTTCTTAATCGCTAATTTTAATATTCTGCTGTTCCTCCATAGCTCTATCCCCCTATCTGTATCTTCACCTCTAAGGAGAAGAAAAAAATAGCAAAAAAGCTTTATAATAATTTATAGGTGAATATAGAAATATGTATGTGTAGGTGAATCTGTTTTATAATTAAATATCTCTGCACAAAATGTTTGTAACAGACATTGCTTTGCTTCTCCATTAAATACAGTGGCAGAGTTTGCCATGGCTAGCTGCCTAGTGCCCACCAAGATTGTCCTCACTCCTCTTCAGCAAGGTGGGATAAAATATGATGGAAAAGCTCATGTGTCAAGATGATGACCAGCAGATCTCATAGTTACTGTCATCAGTTACTGGCAGAAAAGATTTGGCTTGGGTAGAATCATTTATTGCCAGTTAACAAAAAAAGAGGAGAATAATGAGGAACTGAAATAAAAACACCTTCTCGCCACGTCTCACCTCTGTCCAGGCTCAACCTTACACATTTGTTTCCAACTCTTCTTGAGCTCAGAAGTTAGTATGTGGAATGGGGGTTTGCCACCAGTTGGTAACACATTCTCTCTGCTATTCCTTGCTCACACTCCTCCCCTGCTCTGATGTGGAGTTCCTCCCGTGGGATGCCGTCTTTCACAAACTGCTCCAGCATGGGACTTTTCCAAAGCTTTCAGTCCTTCAGGAGCTGACTGCTCCAACTCAAGTCACCCACAGTGCCACAGTTCTGCTGGATGTTCCTCCCTCCGGTGTGGGACATCCACAGGCTGCAGTTTCCTTCAAGGTTTATCCACTATCCACCCACTCCAGTGGAGCCCTCCGTGGGCTGTAGCGAGAACATCTGCTTTGACATGCTCCTCCAGATGCTGCGGAGGCACTTCTCCTCCAGCACCTGCAGCAGCTCCTCCCCTCCTCTTTCACTATCTTTGGTGTCTGCAGTGTTGTTCTTTCTCACATTTTTCTCTCTCTGCTTTCTCACAGCTTCAACACAGAGGATTTTTTGCCCTTTATAAAGTGTAGTGACACAGAGATGCTGCCTGCATCACTGATGGGCTCGTATTTGTCCAGGAATGCGTCCATTTTGGATTTAGGTGGAACTGGCAGTTTCCAACATGGGAGAAGCTCCTAGTCTCTTTGCACAGGGGCCACTCTGGGAGTCCTCCGCTTTCAAAACCTTGTCACATAAAGCCAATACAAACTTAGAAAAACGAGATTATCAGAAAATGACAAGCAATTATCTTCAAATTAGTTCAATTTGGGATATGAAGATCCAAGTCCATCCATTAATTGGACCAAATATTTTGCCTATTGTATTAAAAACAGGATAACGTCCCCACGTAATACAACTTTTTATGCAGGAAAAACTGTCAGGGAGATTTGATAACAGTCTGCTCAGAGGCAGAGAAAATCTATGCCTGCTTCATTTTAAGGTGTATTAACTTTACTCATAATAGGAGCCTCACCAACTTATAGATAAATTACAGATTTTAATCAATTAATTCTATGTACAATTCCCTCTATATAACATGAACCACTTGAGATAGACTTTAAAATAATTCAGGTGAATTATATTGACAGTAGGAACATTGGCAATGGAGGCAAAGTATGGAAAACTGTGCTGATGGTATTTGTTTTTATTTTTATCTATAATTAAATGAAATTAATGTCATTGTTCTCAGATTTGAGGAATAAGGAAGATTCTAAATAAGAGAAATGATGAAAGGGTAAAAAAAAAAACGATGATAAAAGCTGTTTAAATAATAAACATGCTTTAAGATAAACACAAAACAAAAAGCACTGCTTATGTGAGAAGTACGATAATGAATATTTCAGCCTATTATTTATTTCTTGATACTTGTTCTCAATAGCTGATGACAAGAAAAAGGAGAATCAAAGGAAAATGTATCTCCAAGTATGAAAATAGCAATTTGCAGGAAAAAAAAAAAAAAGAAGTGTCATCATAAAAATACGTTGAAATAGTTTTATACTGAAGTTAAAGATCAAGAATTATGCAAGGTTAAGAGAGCAATCTTTCCTCTTCTGTTGCATAGGAAAGATGAACTACTCTCTCTTTCAGGTCAGTTTTAAGCTACATACACTTTGTTCCTCATTCTCCAACATAACGGCTGAAAAGAAATCAGTCCACTTGTGGTCAGTCTCTTTTTTTTTTCCAGCTAAATGAAAATTTCAGCACTAGAACCTTTACTTTCAGAACCCCCACAATTCCAAGGTGATCAGATCCATACGGAATCTGTGCTAAAAGGAAAACAGTTCTTTCTGTGTGATTGTGTTCTAGGTTAACATCCGTAGGCAGCTAAGCACCACGCAGCCACTCACTCCCTCACAGCTTCCCCCCAGCTTCCAGTTGAATGTGGGAAAAACAAAGGAAAAGTGAAAAACAAACAAACAAACTTGTGGGTTGGGATAAAGACTGTTTTAACATGTGAAGAAGAGGCAGAAGAAGACTGGAAGAAAACAAAGCCAAACAAAGCATGTGAATACAGTCACTCACCGCATCCCATGAAAAGACTGATGTCCAGCCAGTTCCTGGGCAAAAGATGACTCCCCTACTGACATCTCCTATTGTCCCTTTTTAGTGCTGAACGTGACACTATATAGAAAGTGGTGTTTCTTTGGCTAGATTAAGCTATCTGCCTTGGTGCTGTGCAAACACTGTTTAGCAGTAGCAGGAGGCCAGTTGTGATGCTCAGGGGCACCTGAAATATCAATGTACAGTGACATACAGGTACACGAGCTTTATCCTTACCTTGTGTAGAATATATATGACAAATTATACTGTATGAGATCTTGTAAGATCCGAAGTATAATCTCTCACTGAAAGCATATTCAGTCTAACGAATGCTAAGTTGATAGCAATGAACATTTCCCTTGATTTACTATCTGTGTTGTCTTTTATACAGTGCAGGATGCTGTTGATAATGTTGAGCTGCTCTGTCACCTGGGCACTCTAATGGCTCTTGTTTACCCCAGGGGTCTTCTCCTCAGACAGTTAGTCCCAATTAGAGTTGTTGCCAGGGATTATGCCTTGCCAGGTGCAGGAATTGGCATTTATCCTTGCTGAATTTCATGCAGTCACTATTGGCAAATTCTTTCAGTCCGTCTATGCCCTTAAGTGCTGTTCCCATCCCTTAATTAGGTGTCATCTTTAAACCAGGTAGGTAAGCAGTCCATCAGCTCTTCCAGATCCTTGAAAAATATGTTGAACAGGACAGGTGCTCAAATAGACCCCTGCTGTATTTCCCACATTACCAGCACCCAGCAGAGTATTAACCCATTAACGACAGCCCTCTGGCACTGATAATCCACTCAGTCTTTTTGTACATCCAGTAGTCCATGCATCCAGAATGCAAAGTCCTAACGCAGATACAGTATGCTGAAAGTTGAGTTACTAAAGATCAGGTAAATAAGTTCTGCTATTCCTTCCCCCATACATTCAGTGAATTCATCACCGAAATAGTTTGGTCCTTTGATGGAATGACCTTTGATAAAATTGTGCTGACTTCTTGCAGTCACCTTCTTTTTTACGTGACCACAAGTGTTCTAAGGAAAACTGCTCCATGATATTCCCAGGAACTGGAGGGAATTCAACAGGGTTGAATGGTCTGCAGTTTGTCAGTTATTTTTTTGAGGATGTTTACACTGCACCCAAGATATGCTGCAGCAAGGGAAGAAGCTCTATTTTCCTTTGTCTGTTTGTTTGTTTTTCACCTCATCTGGTTGTCACAGTTGCACACGCTTGCTATAGAACCAGAAATTTTATACTGCAATAAGTCTATGTATTTGAAGTACTGTGGTATTTCCTGCCGGGCAGCTGCTACAAAGCCATTCATCCACTCCCTCCATGGTGAGATCGGAGAGGAAAATGAAAAAAAAAAAAAAAAGAAGTAAAACTCATGGATTCAAATAGTTACAATTCAATAGAACAGAAAAGAAAGGGAAAATAATAATATTAATAATAATAAAAGAATGTACAAAATGATTGATCCACAGTGCAATTGCTCACCACCTGCTGACTGATGCCCAGCCAGTCTTTGAGCAGCAGCAGCCTCACAGCCAACTCCCCCTGGTTTTATTGTTTCCCATCACATCATACAGCATACAATCTCCCTGTGGTCACTTTGGGTCAGCTGTGCTGCTTCTATCCTTTCCCAGCCTCCTTGCTGACAGGGCAGTCTGAGAAGATCAGAAGCCCTTGACTTAGTGTAAGCACTCTAGAACATTTGTGTGTTATCAGTGTTACTACTAAAACACACAGCAACATACCAACTCCTAGGAAGAAAACTATTTATCCTAGCTGAAATCAGGACACATAATCAGAAGTAATCTTGATAGCAAAACTAATACATCTTGAGAATCACAGAATCACAGAATTGTAGGGGTTGTAAGGGACCTCCAGAGCTCATCGAGTCCAACCCCCTGCCAAAGCAGTTCCCTACACCAGGTCGCACAGGTCGGCATCCAGGCAGGTCTTGAACATCTCCAGAGAAGGAGAATCCACCACCTCCCTGGCAGCCTGTTCCAGTGCTCCGTCACCTCACTGTACAGAAGTTCCTTCGCACATTGGTGCAGAACTTCCTATGCTGCAGTTTCCGGCCGTTTCCCCTTGTCCTGTCTCCACTCACCACTGAAAAGAGTCCGGCCTCGCCATTCTGCCCCCCACACCTCAGATACTGATAGACCTGGATCAGGTCCCCTCTCAGTCTTCTTTTCTCAAGGCTGAACAGACCCAGTTCACTCAGCCTTTCCTCATAGCAGAGATGCTCCAGGCCCCTCACCATCTTCGTGGCCCTCCGCTGGACTCTTTCCAAGAGATCCCTGTCTGTTTTGTACTGGGGAGCCCAGAACTGGACACAGTGCTCCAGATGAGGCCTCACCAGGGCAGAGTAGAGGGGGAGGATCACCTCCCTCGACCTGCTGGCCATGCTCTTTTTAATGCATCCCAGGAAGTACTTGATCTGACCACAGACAATACATCTGGGCTCAGATACAGTTCTGCTCCAAGGTAACAGAATTCAAACATGTAAATGTGAATGTTTACATATGCAACAAATGTCTGCACTCTTGTTACACTTAGTGGAAATCTGTCTGGTTGTAATTGCTCCATAAGAAAGTACATGAGAGATGGCATGCTAGACAGTCGTATGAAGCTAATAGAGGGGTGGAGAAGGGTAAAGGGAGGGGCATTCAGAGCGATGAAAATTGTCTTTCCAAGAAACCATGACGCATGACAAGTCCTGCTTTCCTGGACTCGGCAGAACATGTGCCTGCTGACGTGAAGTAGCCAATGAATGCCTTGATTTGCTTCACTAGTAAACTGCCTTTACCTCAGTCCACGATTTCTTGCGCTTTTACCTTTCTGATTCTCTCTTCTCTCCACCTGGGGACAGTGAGTGAGTGACTGTGTGGTACTTAACTGCCTGCCAGGATTAAACCACAACTCTTTCACACTCCATCATTGGGCATGAAAGGTTAAAGACGATGACAGATTATATTGAGAGTGAAGTGTTTTGGACTTTGCAGTTGCTATTGCTGTTTAGCTGCTAATTGGCAGGGCACCATGCGTGCCAAGAGGCATGCTTGTCTTACAGAATATCAGAATCTGATGCCTGTTAGTGGGTACACTATTACTTATCATCTTGCTCTGCTGTGCTTGGGATGTTCTGATAACAGCTGTAGCTGTAAGCCTGGGTTGGCAGATGTCCAGGGCATCACAGCTGTCCCTGTGCTATTGTACTGTACAGGCTGGAACTTCAAGTAGCAGCAGGAATGTGGCCTGCAGATGAGTCCATGTGGGAACACTTATATTGCAAATCACAGTGGCCACAGGAAACTCTTCTCTAGAAAAAGCACACTTTAAAGCATCTGTGGCCGTGGATAAGTCCATGCTGAAGGACATATGCCTTGCCTTGTCCATGTATGTGGAGAAAGTCATGCCAGCATATCCTGAAGTATTTGTGGCCATGGATGAGAACACAGCGCAGCAGTAGTCTAAAGGGAACACTGAAAGGACTGTGGAAAATGGGCAAGTCACAGCAGACACACCTCACAGCAACTGTAGCTATGGATTACCTCAAGCTGCATCAGATACTCCTCTGAAGTGATTGTGGCCCATTAATATCACGTTATGATCGGGACCACACATGTATAACTTTACGTTATCAGTTTCTGCATTCAGCCTTAGCAGTCATTAGGTCTGTGGCAGTCCAACCGGCCTTGAGAGCGGGCTGTGGACTGCATCTCCTGTCTGCCCCGAGTGGTCAGTGAACAAATGCAGTGAAGTTAGGAACGACTCCTTTTGGAGCGAGGATGCACAGCTTTGGACCATTCAATACCTGACCCGAGGTCACCGGTGCCTAAGTCACTCAATTGTAGGAGGACATCAGGTTGCTCAGCAGGACCTGCCTCTTGGGAACCCATTGCATCTGGGCCTGATCCCCCTGTTGTCCACACATGCCATGTGATCTCACTCAACACACTTCTTTTCTGCAAAGTTTTTAATTGCATGCTGCTTTGCTAGTTGGGCATAATTCAGGAGAGTACTTTACGCATACATCCATATATCAAATGCATCTTAAAATATACATTCCATTCTTTCTCCCTATATAGAGATAGATATAGAGGTCACTAGCGAGATCACACAAAAGTAATATATCTAATCTTTTCAGGTCAGAGTGTTCAGCTTTTCTTTCCTTTACCTATCACCTAAGTCCTGTGCCTTTGTGTTTTCTGAGGTCTTTTACTGCAGTTCAGAGGTGCCGCTGTTTTAATTTTTGGCATTTGTGGTTATTTTTGTGATGACCTAATAGTAGCTCAAGTGGCTTTCACAGAATTAACAGCCTAAAAAAGGATGTAGGAGAAAAGCAACAACCCAGAAAACCCAACAGCAGTAACTTGAGGCAAGGCAAAGTTCTAGCAGAATGTGTTACTATTGTGTTACTGGATCCCACAAAACAGAGCAATCCCTTTCTGCGTTTTTTCTTACAAAATGTTCACTTTTCTTGCTGCAGCTTAGCATACCTGCAAACATTTGTGTACTGTGCCAAATTGTTTCTTTCATCAGTAGTGTTTGGACGAGTATTTGTGAAAAATGCATCACAGCTTCTTTGTATTCATTACAAACATCACACTTAAAAGACACCAGAAGCTGCTTGTGTGGGCTGTTGCTTCTCTGCTCCTCCTCTCCTGTGGGTTTCATGCTCCTGCATGGACTGTGCAGGGACGCACAGCAGCAGCACTGCAGCCAGGTGTGGGCAGCAGCAGCCACAGGGGCAATCCAAAGCCCTAGTACCACTAGTTGCAGGTGGCCAGTGGACACAGCACAGCTGATGACAGACAACTAAGCTTGCTGAAGACAAGGTTCACAACATCCACTGCTCTCCACCCAGCTGCCCAGCCAGTAATGACATCAGAGAAAGCTACCAGGTTGGCTCAGCATAATTTCCCCTGGGAGAATCCAAGTGCAAAACTAGATCCAAAATCTCTGACGAGCACCAAGAGAACTCATTTAGAATTGAAATCACTTCCATCAAACCAGACATTGCTGCAGTAGTTTCAAGGAAAAAAGGACAAATATCCTGCAAGTTTGATGGGATTGTTGCCCACATATATTAATATTTTAAAGTATTTTATTAAATACATGGATATACAAAAAGAAAGTTTGTTACTTCCATACATTAAATCAAGGTATGTGTATGTGGCCTGAGACAATTCCTTTTCACTCAGCCAAGCCAACAGCTTGGTCAGCCATGGCCTTGGGAGTGCAGAGGGACGTGCTGTGTTGTCCTGCAGCCAGGAGCAGAGACCAGGAATGGCTGCACCTGCTGAGGGTGCGCAGGGATGTCCCAGCGTGAAAGGCAGCAGGGCACTGGGTTTGCTGTGCTCCTCTGAGGGACAGACCTGTCAGAGGAGTGCTGCAGCTCAGCAGAGCAGACAACACAGCGCTCGCAGGCTCCATCGTGATGTCACTGTCATCATGGATGGCCCAAGGATCAATGTGGTCTGAGCTGCCAGGCATTGGACCAAGCTCTCTGCATCGTTGACCAAAGGCACTGAGGGCTGCCACAGGAAGAAACAGAGCAGGGATGAAGCAAGATGCTGAGATCCCAGGCAAACTCCACACCATGCCAGTGCCACACATCTCTGGCCCAGGCCAGGGAGGACAAACAGATCGGGAAGGCCCCAAATGCATTAGAATCACCAAATCACCTCAATTGGGAACACCTTTGAGATCATGAGCATCACATAACCCACGTGTCCTTCCCCGTTTCCACGTTCCACATTCTCTCCTTCACTCCCTCACAGCCTGCAAAGGAGGGTCTCCTTCACACACTCCAGGAATCTCCCCAACTGTTTCGTCTCCAGGTATTCTACTTCCAGCAGACAAAGGGAATGTCAACTTTCTCAGTGAAACTTCTCCTAGCTGCTTGTAGGAGATATCACAGAATCACAGAATCACAAGGTTGGAAATAACCTGCAAGATCATCTAGTCCAACCACCCTCCCATTCCTATTAGTACCACAAGCTACTAAACCATATCTCGTAGCTCCTCATCCAGGCGCCTCTTGAGCACTGCCAGGGACGGCATCTCCACCACCTTCCTGGGCAGCCATTCCACTGCCTGACCACCCTCTGAGAGAAAAAGTTTCTCCTAATATCCAACCTAAACCTCCTCTGGTACAACTTCTGGCTGTTTCCTCGGATCCTACTATTTGCCTGGGAGAAGAGGCCAGACCCTTTTGCACCACAACCTCCCTTCAGGAAGTTGTACAGTGCAGTGAGGTCTCCCCTGAGCCTCCTCTTCTCCACACTGAACAATCCCAGCTCCCTCAGCTGCTCCTCATAAGACTTGTGCTCCAGACCCCTCACCAGTTTTGTTGTCCTTCTCTGGACACGTTCCAGGGCCTCAATGTCTTTCTTGTAGTGAGGGGCCCAAAACTGAACACAGTACTTGAGGTGCAGCCAATATCATCTCCCTCTTAATCATGCTTGGGCTCCCACCACAATATCAGCCTTGCTGCTTTTTCCTCTGACTCTGCCTTAGGAGGAAGTTTTTCCCTCAGAGGGCAGGGGACCCTGGCACAGGCAGCCAACAAAACATGTGGGTTCCCCATCACCGGAGCTGCTCAAGGCCAGGTTGGATGGGGCCCTGGGCAATCTGATCCACCGGGGGCCATCCTGGACACAGCAGGGGCTTGGAACTGGGTGGCCTTTAACATCCATTCCAACATAACCATTTGACCGCCCTGGGATTTCGTGGCTGCACGATCTTTCAGGTCCCTTCCAACCCAATCACTAGGATTTCATGGTTCTGTGATTCATAAGGTCGCTTGAAAGCCAACCTTCCTAGGATTCTATGGTTCTGTATTGTTCCTCAGCCCCAAGTGCAGTGAGGTCTCCCCTTGGAGGGGAGCAAAGCATGGGGGGCTCTCTGCCCCTGGTTTCAGTACACACACCACAGCCCTCACTTAGCCCTGATTATATCCTGTAGCTTCTCCTGGCTCAGGTCCATTGAGTAGCGCGCAGCAAGCCCTAGGCACAGAGCACCCATCAGATCCTGCTCCCAGCAGCAGAACTTTTTTTGGGGGGGGGGAACTTTGCTCCCCAGCAGTGAGATTAGCCGAGAAGGGCCTGAGCAAGGCACCGGAGCACTGGGACCCACTCATGGGGCTCCTAGTGCCAGAGGGCAGTGGCTGGGACTGCCAAACACTGCCAAGAGAGGGACAAAGGGGCTGTGGCACACCAATGAACCTCACAGCCTCCTCTCGCAAGGCTGCCTGAGGGTCCTATAGGAAGGGCTGGCTCTGCTGCAGGTATTCCTCTGCCATGCTCTGGTCCCACTGCAGCTGGAGAGAGCACAAAAACATGGGGACTGCAAATGCTCCCCAGCTCCCTGCACTGTCCCTGTTGGTCTGGAGCTTTGGGGTTCTCCTTACCAAGCACTCTGCAATCCTCCACGTCTCCTGTTTTCCAGCCAGCTCCCGGAGGTCGTTTCAGTGCAGGAGATTGGCTGTTTGTACAATGGCTCTCCCGGCAACCTGCAGGGAAGCAGAAGCTGGGAGATGGCACCATGGCCCAAGGAAGGAGACCTGGCATTGCAGTCCTCTTGGCAGGGCCAGGAGCCTTTTCCGACTAGGTTGCCCAGAGAAGCTGTAGGTACCCCATCCCTGGAGGTGCTCCAGGCCAGGATGGATGGGGCCATGGGCACCCTGATCGGGTAGGTGACAACTAGCCCATGGTAAAAGCTGGGCTTTAGCTGCTCCTCCCATTGCTGCCCAAGAAGCCCAATGCCACTTCTGTTGACAACGCCCCACTCACCTTCTCCCATGTCTCAGAGAGTATGACAAGCCCTCCGAGCACCACCCTGTGCATCTCCGCGCTTGGATGCTTCATAAAAGTCTTGACGCGGCATAGGTCACCAAAAGAGCCTTCACTATCTTTGCTCTTTGCCATTAGGTGAAACAAAGACATCAACAAGAGCCTGCAGGGGCATGCGCAGCCCTGAAGGGCAGCAGTGTTATCCATTAACTCACTGCCAAGAAGAGGATGCACATGTCTTCTGTGACTCCTTCTACCAGCCTGCTCATCTGTGAACCCTTGGTCACCTCCTTCAAAACCTTCTCCAAGGTCCGTGGCATGCAGAGCATCAGCTCCCACACGTCCAGGGTGTTGCTACAAACCCAAATTGGAGGCAGGGCTGCCTTAGCCAAAGCTAGAACCCTTCAAGCCCATACCCTTCAAGCCCACATTGTTTGGTGAGCCCTGCATGAGCAGGAGGGCACCTGGAAGAAGCCCTCCAGGCTGTTAAGGACAGTACCTGTCGCTTGGTGGAGAGGACTGCACCAGGTTCCTGACTTCTTCCATGTGAATCTAGCTGGTCAGAAGGAGGAGCAGGGAGACCAGGCAGTGCCATGCTGCCTTTGTGGCAATGCTCCTCAAATTCTTGTGGATGGAGGTTGTGATCTGGGTTTTCTAAAGGGAACACAAGTGAGGACAGACCACAACCATTTCCACAGGTGCTGCTGAAACCACTGCACTCCCCACCGCTAAGAATGGCTTCAGGAGCCCAAGAGACCTCAGCTGGGAAGGAAAGAACAGCACCTGAAAGGACTCAAGGATGGGGCAGTGGACAAAACGTGGTTACATCTGGTATCCAGAAGGCGTAGTCTTCCATGGCCACAGCTATCACACTGCAGGCTGCCTCTCTGTCATAGATGCTGGAGTCAACCATCACTTCAAGAGCTGTGAGGACGACGTCCATCCTCTCAGCAGGCCTGAGGTATCCTCCAAACACCTGTGGGTGGAAGCAGGGGAGAGAAGATGTGTCACACTGAGCATTCCAGTGGTGCTTCCTGGTCCAGCAGGGAGAGCAGCTCTGCAGAGAGATGCTGGGCAGCAGTCTGTAGGAAAGCTGGAAGCATCAGCTTCTGTCACTGCGTGGTGCAGGATAGCAAGAGAGGGCTCTGGGAGAAGGACTGTGGGTGGGGGCATGGGCAGTTGGTAAGAAGGGTTTGCTGACAGCCAGGAGGGCTGGATCTGCTGCCATAACACTCCCCTTGCTCACAAACATTTCCTGCTGATGCTGTGAGCAAGATCCTCAGCAAGGCAGGACATCACCTTGGCACAATCACTGGGACTGGACAAGTTACCACATACAAAATTTGCATCCTGCAGCATCTCATAGAGATGCACATACTTTTCCATCACTTCTGTCAGGGCTGTCTCTAAAAGGGAGGAAACACAGAAGAGTCAGAAGGAAAGTCAGCTTTGTCATCAAACTCAGCAACTGGGGAAAAGCTGCTTTAAACTGAAAATGGCACCTTATGGTGGAGGAGACCTATGGTGTAGGAGACCCATGGCATAGGAGACCTAGGTTGATGGGACCCACAGTTGATGGGTTGAAGAGAGTGAAAGAAAGGGATTATACAGCTAAAGGCAGTGGGTGCTGGGAACAAGAGGGAGTTTAGGAAATATGAAGCTGCTCTGAAGAGTAAAGGAGCTCAGGAAACTCACAGACTCCATGGTCAGGCTTCACGAAGCACAAGAAGCATAAGAACAAGAGACATGAGCAGACAGAGGAGCAGAGAGATGCTGCCTGACCAATCTTCTCCTACCTCTTTTGTGTTTGACAAATGCATGGAGATGATAAAGCACATCTACAGCTAGAACTCTGGTGGTATCAAGGCCACAACTGAAAAGGCAGAGCTGACCCAGCAGCTCTCCCAGGATTGGGAAGTAGATCTTGATGACTGACTCATATATAAACTCGCAATTTTCAGTGTGTTGCCAGTCCTGGGTGACAGAAAAAGAGAGGAAGGCAGAGTAGAGTGGAGACAGAGCAGGGCCTGGAGAGGGAAGAGTGGGGATGAAGACGGGGCAAAGACCCTTGTTCAGGACAGAGCCCTGCTGAGAGCTCCCAGCTGCAGGCACCCCTGAGCTGCTCTGGGATGTGGAGAATGGGAGACAGCCTGGCTGATGGGTGCCTGGCTCCTTACTTTTTCCATAAAATCCACGATCATCCATAGAATCCCATGCAGGGCTCTTGTACGAACGTGTATGTGCTGGGAGTGGAAGAAGTGGGGCAGAGCCTGCAAAGAGAGAATCTGCTGGTACTTGTCCTGGGAGCTTCTGCTGCTCCAGCAGGAGCTCTAGGATCTTCCCCACAGGGAAGGAAGAACAAAGCAGCAGGGGCGGGATCCTTTGCAGACTGTCACATACAAGGAGGGTCTGTGCCACTGCAGTAGGGACACTCCCATCCCTCGGGCTGCCAGACCTGAAAGATGCTGCGCAGCTCCTCCCTCATTCTGGAGTTGAGTTCTGCACCAAGGCTCACAGCATGACGTTCATGGCAATAGTGGTCAGCAAGAGGATAGAGAGCTGTAGAAGGGCGCCTGCGGCACCTCACAGGGCACTTCATCCTAACCCTATCCCCAAAGAAGAGATGAGGGTGGAAAAGCAAAGCTGGTTTGCTACCCTGCCCGAGACTCCTATGGTCACAGCACAAGGAGCAGCCCAAAAGGACCTGGGGCTCTGGTGGCTTACGCAGCACACACCTCAGCATACAGATCTTCCTCCTCTTTTAGTATGCCCAGTTCCAGAGGCAAAAAGACAACACTGTTCAAGCAGGAATTCAGGATGCTCTCTGTTTTGCCTTCCACTGCTGTCTTCACAGTGCTGGAAGGGGGTAGAGGAGCCTGTTGGACACTGTGCCTCACACTGGCCAGTGCCACATTGAGTTAAGTATGACTGCTATCCCCAGTGCTTCCCACCAATTACTCATGTGGACGTACGAACTCCACCTTGTTCTTCTCCTCCTCAGGCCTGCCAACCCAACCTTGGCCTCCTGGCGGGGGGCCTCACCTCTGTCTCATTGGACTGAGAATCAAAGTTGGCAAAAGGGGAAAGAAGAGAGGAAGATTTGCTGGCTACTCTGGGCACGCCAGAGAGACATGTCGATAAGTGGGCTGTGCTCAGGATTGCCTTGAAGGTCCCTGTGTGTACGGGAACTGCTAAGCCAAGGCCTGAACCTCTGATTGATCACCTGAGGCGAGCCGTGAGTCAGCCAGAGGAGCACAGGTGAAGGCAATTCACCTGTGCTGCTGGAAGGGGTGGAGCCTGGCTCCACCCCTCCTAGACCTATTTAAGAGCTGGCTACCAGAGGGGAAGGATCTCTTCTGGAGATCACCTCTCTTGGTGTCTTCTGGTGAGCTCAGCTGAAGGGTAAGCTCTTCCGCTAATTCTCTTTTGTGATCGTTGTTTACTTTGCCTAATTCTCTTGATTATACACTGTGTTCCAACCATGTCCTGTCGCTGTCCCTCCTGGCAACTGTTCAGGCTTTCCCTTTCAAATGAGCAGAAAGATAAGCCTCCCTTCACCAGGAAGAATTGATTTATGACACAAAAGCCAAGATAAGAGCAATACTGCATTTACAGATTTGGACCTGTTCTACAATAATTTCTGCATGCAGATCGGGCTGCTGGAATGCTAAACCAACGGGGCTGGTGTTATCACAAAGGGCTTGTAAAAGGAAGAAAACAGGAGAAGCACCAACCTCCAAATAAGCATACGAGAGCCAGGAAGTCGCGTGGCAAGCCTGTTAAACCTTTACATGTGCAGGAGACAAGACAGCCAACTCAAATTTCCTTTGACAAGCATGCGGATGCTTTCTGCTGAGCTCTGTTATTTCAGACCACGCACTTACTTTTATTTATCCAAAACGGAGTCACATCAAAGCTATAAGCTTTGAAATGATTTTGCATAAGATAGTGGTGCCTTCTCTTTCTTTAATAAGGTTTTTCTTAGATTAGTAATTGTTTCACTGGAAACAAAGTCTGTTTCCTAGTCTGTTTTAAGATCATCTCTATGACTTCTCAGCAACTTTCTGCCAGATCACAGTTTGGCAAGAAAATGTACAGAAGACAGTAAACATATCAAAAGACTGCAGCACATTTTAGACTGGATTCGCAGAAAGAAGTTGTACAGATAGCCCAGATAACAAAATCCTTACACCTATTCTTCATAACTGAACACAAACAACCTGAGAGAGACCTTAGCAAACGTACAGACAGATTAACTTGATGATGTTAAAACACAGAGCTCTTACTTTGTGCAAAAGGCAGATCTGAACATGTAACAAAAACCTGGAGCTGTGTACCAACAATTTAAGGGCATCGTATCCGTTGGAACGTCACTGGAGAATCTGAAGGAATTCCAGATCTCTGACTTATAAAATCAGCTGTTTGCCAGCCAGTCAGAAGATGAATCTGTGCAGTTCAACTGCAGCTTCCTATGTAGCATACACTTACTTACCAGCTTCAGATAATAACAAACCCCAAACACCTCAGGATCTGCTCCTGTGCTCCTCTTAGTGCTTCGTGCCTGCAGCTACCATAAGAGGTCAGGAAGCCAAGCAGGCACAGGATGAAGGTCTCTGCTCTGGAGAAAAGCAGACAAGCAAAGCACGTGTGATAACAAGGAAACTTCAGCAGCATATTTCACTTTTCAGAAGGAAAACAGACACACCTTGATCCATTTGCAATCAAATGCCCTTTCATTCCATATCTGTAAAGCAAAAGGTAAAAAGCCATGTTGAGAAGTGAGGATGTGCCGACATGTCAAATCGCATACACAGAAACAAATCTTCCACAGCCATTACTGAACTCCACGGCTTTGGTTGGCCAAAGGAAATTGCTCCAATTGGTTCTGGCAGCCCTCCAGGGAAAAAGTCTATACGAAAATTCAAGGCAGGTGCTTATTTCTCTCAGCCTTCGGCCTGCAGCCTCACTGAAAAGAACAGTCATGCTGGGAGAGCTCTCTACAACCCTTAGCCTTGTTACACATTATATGCTATGAGCAATAGCATATAACAGGCTCTTCAGCTTGGGAGATGATGCCTTTTTCCACGGTTTCTCATCAAGCCGTGGCCATACAGAATGTCAGTAACAACAGAAACAAGATATTACTGAAATACTTCACATGCAGAACCTATATTCTACTGTAAAAGCACAGCAGGGCAAAAACTCGTGTCGGACACACACCTCCCAGCCCACCCCCTCCAAGGTCCATTTCTCAAGCTTCAGTGCCGTACCAGAGAGCAAGAGTGACACTGACTGAAACAGCCAGCAGCAGGAAGGGGAATGCTCCAGAAGAGATGGACATTGCATGTACCTTCCCACACTGCAACACAAAGGGCAGACTTTCTCAGTGGGATGGGAACCACAGCTTGAGAAGCTTCACTGAGGAAAGTGAAAATTCAGAAGTGCAGCCTCATGATAAATCATTTATATTCACCGCAGTGAGCAGGTCTAAGCATTAAGGCCATTGGACTCGAGAAGATTATTGGCAAGTCCCTGCCTTGGATGTTAGGCTACTGCAGAAAGGCAAAAACAGGCTGAGAGAAGCACCAAAGCAAGCATACCGAGTCCTAGAGCTTCCCTGCCTTGTCTGGTGCCACATGAAAACATCGGTCCCTTACAGTAATTAAGGGTCAGACGTGTTTGTTAGAACAAAGAGGCTTGGATTTACCAGTCAGTTCAATTCGGAGGCTCCTCTCTTCAGCTTCTCTCATCAGCCACCGCTCACAGCCTCAGAAGTCGCTCTCACCATTTCCATAGGCACATGGCAGGTCTCAGGGCCATCTGGGAAGGAAACAGACATTAAAAAGACATTATTAAGTTCTCTTTGCTCACTTTGCATTGCTCACTATATTAACTTAGTATAAATGTTTGAGGATTTGTCCCTTTTTTTGGGGGGCGGGGAGGGTGAAGGGATGGAAGGGGGAGAAACACTTTGTTTTTTGCTTTATTAAAAAGGAACTATGCTTTCTTTTTTGCATTAGAACGCAATTAGCTATTGGGCATTTTCTATTCCTAGATGCAATAGTGCTAAAACCTGTATTTACGATCACCTTTGTCTCAGCAACCACTGGGAAATTCACAGCGTTAGGATCATAAGGGAAAGAAAATCACCGTTGAAAGCACAATTAGCAGATAATGTCCACGTGGTGACGTATGGGGTGAGAGAGAGCGAGGGGGGCAAAAAGTGGCACAAACTGAAAAGCAGTTCCTTCTTCACAGACTTTGCTCACAGTGATCATAGTCCAGTGAAATGCAGCAGCTCATCAAACTAAAGTAACACAACTCCTTCTGGTCTTCGCACTCCACTCTCTCTGTAAAGAACTTCCCCCTGACTTCCAACCTTAATCTTCCCTCCCTCAACTCAAAGCCATTTCCCCTTGTCCTGCTGTTATCTACCCTTTCAGAGTTGACTCCCCTCCTGTTTGTAGGCTCCCTTTAGGTCCTGAAAGGCTGCAATGAGATCACACCGCAGCCGCCTTTTCTCCAGGCTGAACAAGCCCAGCACCCTCAGCCTGTCTTCATAGGGGAGCTGCTCCAGCCCCCGATCATCTCTGGGGCTCCAGGCTCCAGACCTGGAGGCAGTGCTGCAGATGAGGACTCACGAGAGCAGAGCAGAGGGGGACAATCACTTCCCTGTCCCTGCTGCCACTCCTCTGCTGATGGAGCCCAGGATCCCATTTGCTTTCCCAGCTGTAAGAGCACACTGTTGGCTCATGTTAAGCTTTTCTTCCATCAAGACCCCCACGTCCTTCTTGCTGGGCTGTTCCCAAGGACTGCTCCTGCCAGGCTGTTCCCTCCTCTAAATCATGGCCCCGTGGACCACATCCAGATGGTTTTTAAACACATCCAGGGATGGTGACTCAACCACCACCCTGCGCAGCCCATTCCAGTGCTTAACAACCCTTTCTGTATAGAAGTTTGTCCAACTTCAACTTACCTTACTTCTGCGCGTTCTGTGGAACCCCACAGATGTGACAGTGGGCTCTGGAGGAGGAAGAAGCAGCCGAGCCTGCCGCTGACACTGCCATTCTGCGTCCCTCCCCAGCACTCCCACACCTTCCTCTTCCCAGCCCCGCTCAGCTCCTCGCAGGCTGCAGACACCGCTGAGGCACTCACGCTCCACGGCCATCATCTTCCCCTGCGGCCGGTCCGCTCTGTGCAAGGCTGCGCCGAGTTCCTGCCGCTGCAGCCAGAACCGCGGCTCCTGTGCTGACGGATGGAGGATCCACAGCTTGCGGTACCCGGGCTGCCGGCGGCACGGCAGGACGCTCCCCTCCCTCCCATCGCCCCTCAGCTCCTGCATCCTGCTATTATCTGCCTAAGGATTCGAAGACCCTGCAGAGCGGTCCGCACAGGCTGATCGACGGCCGACGCCAACGGCACGAGGCTCAACACCGCCACTCGCCGGTCCCGCACTTCGCTCACAACAACCCCAGGCATCGCTGCAGGCTGGGGGCAGAGCGGCAGGAACGCCGCGCGGAGCAAAACGAGCCGGAGGCGCGGGCCCCGGAAGCGCAGCGAGCAGCCGGGCCGGGGCCAGCCGAGGCGCGCGGTGATGACGCAACGACGGAAAGCACCCCGCGCGGAGCGCCCGCCTCGTCCCGCGGACCGACCAATGGCAGCGCGGCGAAGGCGGGGCCGAGCGTCGGGCTCTCCGCCAATGGCGGCCGCGGGGCTCCGTGCGGGGAAAGCAGCGCTCCCCCTTCCCGCGTCCCCGCCGCCGCCCGCCCCGTGCCTCGGGGCCCCGACCGTCCCCCTATGAACCGAGCCGTCCTCTGCAGTCGTCGTTGTGGCGGGGCGCCACCGAGCTGTCAGAACCGGCCGCTGACGGCGAGCGGTGGGATTAGCCCGGTGTCCGAGAGCGGCTTCTGGCTGAGCCGAGCAGTCCCGAAAGTGAGGGAGCGACCCCGCGGATCGAGACGCGATTGAGCCCGGCACACAGTCAGGCGGGCGCCTTCGGTTCTCGCTCGGCTCAGATGGCCGTCAGCGCTGTGCTGAGCTGCTGCCCCGCAGGTGGAGGACCCGACTGCCATTTTCCCGAGAAGACAGCCGGCGGCGCTGGCGCTGACCAATGAGAGGGAGGCTGGGGGCGGGTGGGCGCCGGCGCTGACCAATGAGAGGGGAGCCGGGGGGCGGGTGGGCGCGGGTGGTGACCAATGAGAGGGGAGCCGGGCCGGGCCAGGCCAGGCCAGGCCAGGCCGTCGCTCCGGGCCGATGGCAGCCAGCG